GAGGTCAAGAAGAAATGAACTGTCCAGCGGAAGGATGATGGAATCACCATCAGTCTCGATAGAACTGACAACACCCAGGTTGCTTCGCCCTCTCAGATTATAGGCCCTGAGAACAGCAAAGAGAAAAACAGTAAGGAAAAGGAGAAAGAGCGGGAAAGGAATCCAGAAAAAAAAAGGTATAATTCAGAAACTGATATAGTCCCTATGGATGTAGACCCCTTCAAGGATGCTTTCGATCCTGAACCAATGGAAATAGAAATCCTTCACTCTTGCGTTCCTCCCCCTTTGCTGAATCCTGCCGCAGGCAACACGTCTTCGGTAACACTGAAGCTGAATTCAATTGTCTGCAAAATCACAGAATCTGATTGGCTTTTATATAATCTAAAAGAGCAGCATCCTGCTCTGTCCATTGATCATTGGCCTCATATTTTCAATGATCTGATGGTGCTACCGGAAAATAGTGAAATCATAACATCCTTCTTAATACAAGGGTCTTCAAAAGGTTTAACGTGAGAGGATATCAATATTAAATTGCTCTCAATTGTTTCCTCTAGATTCAAGTTCACACGCCTGGGGGAAACTCGTCTGCTGCCAAACATATACAACCGCTTTCTGCCACTGGTCTTAGCAGGAGATGATTCACAAGAGACACAGTTGATAAGTTCACAAGAGGGATCACAAGCAAAGGAACAGACGGTGCCACAACTTCTGCAGTCTCAACAAGCGGCCTGTCTGGGAAAATAGCGGAATGAGTGTCAGGTGGTAGAGCAACTCGAATCTAGTCTTGACACGTTGATCCTTTCCAACAATAGGCAAACTTCACAGGATACAACACAGGCTTCTGGGGAAAACACCTCTGAAGGCCTTATGCTTTTCATCGAATCAGGCTCCCCCCACCCAAGTGGGGTGGAATTACATGACACAGGGGAGGATTCTGGAAATGCAAAACAACTACAATTGCAAACTCTACATAGTTTATCTGGGAATGTAGTTGTGACTTGCTTCAGAGAAATTATACCAGATGTCACTGGGAAAAAAAAATTTTGCTCGTTAATCGTCAGCAGCATTCCGTTGCCCATGGTAAGCACAGTCAAGGCTTATTAGAGTGGGATCCGGGATCTGTGATCCCACCCTCAGTTCTGTCATCTAGAAGGTTCCATATTAATCAAGTGTCACACTCCCCACCCATAGTGCAGGGACAACTCTCGGTCTCCAACACTGAATTTGGCAATGGGGGAAAAAATATTATTAGTGATGGGGGGGAAAATAAAACCGAAAAAAATAATCCAAATATCGAAACTGAGTGTCTCCTCCCGTATGCGGCTACTAGTACCCAACCAAGAAAACCAGACAACACTGGTCTCAGACGAGGGGAGTCCCGAGAGAGCATGAATCAAGAAATAGTTTCATATGACTCCTCTCTGACGGTAAAGGCTCATATGGTGCCTCTGCCAGATCAACAAAATTCACAAGTAGTTGATCTCACAGAAGATCCCCCTGACAATCACCATCAGAGCTCCGGTGCCTTATCACCTTCTCACTCACCGCTTTCTTCTCTCGAGTCTGAACTCACCTTTCAGAGGCAGAAACTGAAACACCGTCTGGCGAAAGGCCAGGGAGCTATGTATCACCCACGGTCATGACCGCGGGCTTTTTGCCGCATGCGGTCAGGACCCCGCCCGCGGCGGTCGATCCCCGCGGC